CAGGAAGGATTGCATTTTTTAAATATATTTTTTTCCACATGTTGTACTCTATAAGACCTTAAAATGTAATTCCCACTGAGAAAATTCAACCAGATTGAAAATACAATAGTTAAGCTAAAGTGTAAAATTTTAACTTGATGTGCAGAGAGATGGCCAGTCTCACTGATTTAGGCTGGAGAAGCTTACAAAATCCATAACAGATATTTGCTGGGGAAAAAAAATTATTCTTATAGAGAAAATAGGCCAATAAGACGAAGTGCTGAAAAACACCAGAACTCCTCCTGTGTTCTAATGCATATATTACAAATCGAGAAACTAAGATCAATAGTATGAAAACTCTGAATACCTGTGTATCTGGGAATCAGGAATTCATGATATATTAAGTAAACCATCCAGTATTCATATAAGATATATATTTTATTTACCATGTTTCAGTTTTTATTACTTTTTTTTTTTTTACTTGACATTTGCAAAAAATCGTATATTTCATATATCTACCACATATGTTTTACATGGAAGCGCAAAGAGGTCCTGTATCTTTAATATATTCCTGACTTATGTAGAGAAAACAAGTTGTTATCTGGACATAAGAAGTTTTCCTAAGATAACAAACTTGTTTTCTTGGCATAACAAACTTGTTTTCTCAACATAAGTTGCTTTCTCACCAAAACAAGTTGTTTTGTTGAAATAACAATAATTATTTGTATTTAGGGCAATAATGTCGTAGGATAAATAGTAAAACATAACATAGTTGAGAATACAAATAGTAAAGTAAAACCAGTTGGCTGTGGTGTGCCGGAACCGACAAATGCTGTAAGCCTGTAATAAAGAGGGCCCACTTTAGAGAGTGATGTGAAAAGAGGGAGCGGTGGGAGGGGCAACTCGCCAGACCCATAACGGTGTGAAGGTAAGGCTAGGAGGCCCTTTTAAAGGGGAACCAAGCCCCTCCCACAACTACAGGCACAGCCATATATTTGTGTTCAGGACAATACTGATGTAGGATGAATAGTAAAACATAACATAGTTGAGAATACAAAAAGTAAAGTAAAACCAGTCGGTTGTGGTGTGCTGGAACCGACAAATGCAGTAGGCCTGTAATAAAGAGGGCAAAAAGGAAGTGTACCAACAAAATGTATTCATACTACAACCCTTGTACATTATCACTTGGATATATCGATAAACGCTTGACGTTCTCTTGAACTGGTTGGGGTAAATATATGTTGCATAGGTGGATGTTTTCCAGCGTCCCATAGTCTCGATAACATGGGCCGGGATGTTATTGCTATATGCAGAGCATGCTGCCACCCATACGAAAAGAGTGACCTGAGAAGTAGGTTGCGTTTAGGCCTAATGTAGTTGACAGCATGCGGACATAAAACATGAACATGATAGTGGTGAGTATAGTACCGTGTAGCTCCAATAAAGGTTGGTGTGGATGTTTTGCGTTGAGCTAAGAAAATTTACCAATATTTCCACTGGGCACCATTGATTGTGCGTAGGATAGTAGGATATGTCAACTGTGAGGGGTTTGAAAGGTGACTAATCTAATAGGTTAACTAAGGAGTGGAAGAATTAACTGTAGATAGGTAGTCTTAAGCGGGTAATATATAACCATGAAGAAAAGTACAACCAAAATGAATGATCAAAAAAATTAATCACTCACTGAGGGTGTATTGGTTGTAGGGTATTGAGGGCATAACCCAAAAGTAAATTATAGAAAGAGAAGAGACTGGAATAGGTTAACTAAAAGAAGTGCTCCCCAAAGCAGTCCATATACCCTTAATCAAACTGCTCCACCAGTATGAAGCAACAAATTGCTAGTCATAGAGCAAAATAGAACTAAAGAAATTACATTTTAATAACCCCTCTTAGGGGAACAATATGTATATATAACCAATGTGAAAAATGTGTAAACTATAATGAAAAACAAAACAAAAACTTAAAAAATCTAAAATAGGTACATCTGCTAATCTGCGATATAGGCAGTAATAACACTCAATATTATTATTTTGTGTAGAGCTAACCCATTGTGTAATTGGGGCCACTTTTTAAACCCCCTGGTGCCGGCCCATTTTGTGTGACGTCATAATGACGCTCAGATGGCACTGGTAGTGGGCGGGGTTAAGGGAGAGGGAGTGGCAATAACCAGAAAAACAGCATGAGCAGAGTAACCCCTTCAGTGACAAAAGTGTAGTGTAACTGACACATGTCCCTAAACAGGGAATCAGTAGTAAGTATATAGTTCATATGAAGAATAAATTAAGCTGATCATAAGAAAGACGTGTGTAAATATAAAGGATATGGGCAGGAAGTACATATATATGTTTATAGAATGGAAAAACTAAGAAGGGGATTCTAATAGTGGTAGGATAAGATAGACAGGACACTAGGATGAGTAACTCTAAAATGTATATACATTAGACGTATCCTAGTCCAACTATCCTACATAATACATAGAAATCAAAAAATCCCACTAGGTTCAGTATTGAATAAGATGTTGATTAATTGTATGTGAGAGATAAGGATATCATTCTGCATAAAACAGACATCAATGTCACTTATAAATTAGAGAGAATATAAACTGAACATCTAGACTAACTATTAGATTAAGTAATCCATTCTAAGTAACTACTCAAGTCCATAAGTAATAAAGATTACACAGGTTAATTAGATGAAAGGTGCAAAGGAAAAACCTTCATTCAACCCATTGGGTTGTAGTGTATTAAGTCTGTAGATCCAGAAACGCTCACATTGCCTTAATTACCTGTCGTAGTCACCCCTTCTTTTATCTCGTTTCACTAGTTCTAAACCACAAAACCGTAGACCATGTGGTTTACCTGAATGATGTTCCTTCAGGTGGCGAGCGATCGGAGTTTCAATACTGAGGGCAAAAGGTTTTTCCTACATACTTACAATCACATTCACAGGTAAGTAGATACACTAAACCTGAGGTGTTGCAATTAAAAAATGAAGTGATATTGAAAAGATGTTTATTTTCACTGTCAGATATGGTTTTAGAATCACGTTTAATATACTTACAGGCCACACAGCGCCCGCATTGGAAAGAGCCGAAGATAGGTGTATTAAGCCAAGTCTTTGGATTGGGGTGTTGTGATTGGAAATTACACACTGCTTCCACACTGTCATTCTCTGAAGTTCTGCCTGTGCATAACACTCAGAACGACAGGCGGATGCGTATTAGGGACTTTAATTTGTGGCTTGGTGAATGGTGTCGGGAGCAAGGATTTGGCTTTATTTCTCATGGTAGCTCTGTTTGGAATGGAGATAAGCTGTACAAAAAAGATGGTTTGCATCTTTCTCAAAAGGGAACAAATGTTCTCAGTGAGCAGTTCAGAGGTTTTGCTAGGATGTATTTAAACTAGGAGGGGGGGCAAAAGGGTGATAAAACATCAATCCAATTGTCCCCCAAAACAAGGACAGAAGGTGCCTGTAGCAAGTGTGTTAAAAAATGATAAGCTTAGAGTCATGTCTACAAATGCTCGCAGTTTAGGGAATAAGATCCATGAACTTGTGGCAATAATGGCAACTGATAGTGTAGATTTAGTCGCTGTTACTGAGACATGGTACAATGAGAAAAATGACTGGGACATAGCAATACCAGGGTACTCTTTATATAGGAAAGATAGGGAAGGCAAGAAAGGGGGAGGGGTGGCCTTGTATGTGAAGGATAGCATAAAATCTAGCCTAATAAAAGTTAGTGAGGCAAACATAGAGTCCGTTTGGGCTACGTTAGAATTTGGTAATCACACAGTAACTCGTGTAGGTGTGATTTATAGGCCCCCAGGACAAATTGAAGAGTTAGATAATCTACTAGTTGAGGAAATAGCTAAAATGACAATGAAGGGGGAAGTTATCATCATGGGTGACTTTAATCTTCCTGATGTAAATTGGAAAACAAAATTAGCTACTTGTGCCAGGAGCACACATATTCTAAACTCCCTACTGGGATTGTCTCTAAAACAAGTTGTTGAGGAGCCAACTCGTAAAGAGGCCATACTAGATTTAGTGTTAACAAATGGAGATTTGGTATCAGATGTTACTGTAGGTGAAAGTTTAGGATCCAGTGATCATCAGTCAGTGTGGTTTAATATAAGAACAGTGACTGAGTCACACCACACAAAAACAAAAGTTTTAGACTTTAGAAAAACAGACTTTTCTAAAATTAGAATATGGGTAGAGGAGTCATTATCAGACTGGAGCAATTTAAATGGAGTCCAAGAAAAATGGGATTATTTAAAAGTTGCACTATTGAAGGCAACAGAAAATTGCATTAGGCTAGTCAGTAAAAGCAAAAAATTCAAGAAACAACTGTGGTACTCCGCAGATGTGGCCAAAATAGTTAAAAACAAAAAGTTAGCATTTAGGAATTATAAAAAAACCCAGAGTGAGGGAGACAAAATGATCTATAAGATTAGGCAGAAAGAGGCTAAGCAAGTTATAAGAGCTTCCAAATCACACACAGAAGAGAAAATAGCACAGTCAGTAAAAAAGGGGTATAAAACATTTTTTAGATACATAAATGAGAAAAGAAAAGTAAAACAAGGATTAGTTAGATTAAAAACAAAAGAAGGAAGGTATGTAGAAGAGGATAAAGGTCAGGCTGACTGCCTCAATGAATATTTTTGTTCTGTATTTACAGAAGAAAATGAAGGAAAGGGAACTCAGTTGAGAAAAAGGATAAATGAGTCATTTATTACACGTGAGTTTACAGAGGAAGAGGTTCTATTTCAACTGTCAAAAGTAAAGACAAATAAGTCAATGGGACCTGATGGAATACACCCAAAGCTATTAAAAAGAGCTTAGTGGTGTACTAGCAAAACCATTAACAGATTTATTTAACCAATCATTGTTAACAGGAGTAGTCCCAGAAGATTGGAAGTTAGCGAATGTTGTGCCCATTTACAAGAAAGGTAGCAGGGAGGAGTCGGGCAACTATAGGCCAGTAAGCCTTACTTCAGTAGTGGGGAAAGTGATGGAAACCATGTTAAAGGATAGGATTGATGAACATCTAAAAACACATGAATTTCAAGATCAGAGACAACATGGGTTTACTTCAGGGAGATCATGCCAAACTAATCTTATTGATTTTTTTGATTGGGTAACTAAAACTATAGATCAGGGTGGTGCAGTAGGCATTGCTTACCTAGATTTCAGTAAGGCTTTTGACACTGTTGCACATAGAAGGCTTATCAATAAACTGCAATCTTTAAGTTTGGATTCAAATATTGTTGAATGGGTAAGGCAGTGGCTGAGTGACAGGCAACAGAGGGTTGTAGTTAATGGAATATATTCGAAGCTTGGACTTGTCACCAGTGGGGTACCTCAGGGATCTGTACTTGGACCCATTCTCTTTAATATTTTTATTGTGATATTGCAGAAGGTCTTGATGGTAAGGTATGTCTTTTTGCTGATGATACTAAGATATGTAACAGGGTTGATGTTCCAGGAGGGATAAGCCAAATGACAAATGATTTAGGTAAACTAGAAAAATGGTCAGAATTGTGGCAACTGACATTTAATGTGGATAAGTGCAAGATAATGCATCTTGGACGTAAAAACCCAAGGGCAGAGTACAGAATATTTGATAGAGTTCTAACCTCAACATACGAGGAAAGGGATTTAGGGGTGATTATTTCTGATGACTTAAAGGTAGGCAGACAATGTAATAGAGCAGCAGGAAATGCTAGCAGAATGCTTGGTTGTATAGGGAGAGGTATTAGCAGTAGAAAGAGGGAAGTGCTCATGCCATTGTACAGAACACTGGTGAGACCTCACTTGGAGTATTGTACACAGTACTGGAGACCGTATCTTCAGAAGGATATTGATACCTTAGAGAGGGTTCAGAGAAGGGCTACTAAACTGGTTCATGGATTGATAAAACTTACCAGGAAAGGTTAAAGGATCTTAACATGTATAGCTTGGAGGAAAGACGAGACAGGGGGGATATGATAGAAACATTTAAATATATAAAGGGAATCAACACAGTAAAGGAGGAGACTATATTTAAAAGAAGAAAAAACTACCACAACAAGAGGACATAGTCTTAAATTAGAGGGACAAAGGTTTAAAATAATATCAGGAAGTATTACTTTACTGAGAGGGTAGTGGATGCATGGAATAGCCTTCCAGCTGAAGTGGTAGAGGTTAACACAGTAAAGAAGTTTAAGCATGCGTGGGATAGGCATAAGGCTATCCTAACTATAAGATAAGGCCAGGGACTAATGAAAGTATTTAGAAAATTGGGCAGACTAGATGGGCCGAATGGTTCTTATCTGCCGTCACATTCTATGTTTCTATGTTTCTATGACTAGGGACTAAGAGGTATCTTACATTTTTGCCTCTTCATGCTGTAATTTCCACATTTGGACCTAAGATCTTTTTAAGGTGGATGTCACTGATTAAAAGAGGCCAGAATCTCTGAATGCCTAATTTGATTTTATCCCAACCTGGAAGGTTTATTGTTAGTCAGAAGGGTGACTCTGTCAGACTCCAGGGCTCTCTTATATGCTTTTTTCAAGCACCGATTGGGATAGCCCTTATCCTTGAATTGTTGTCGAAGGATGTTAGCTTGGATTTTAAATTCCTGGATAGTGCTACAATTCCTACGTGCCCTCAGATATTGGCCGATAGGTATTCCTTGTTTCAAGGGCTTTGGATGGAAACTATCCCAAGTCAGGAGCCTATTTGAGGCTGTAGGTTTTCTGAAGAGTGATGTCTGAATGGACCTGCAACTATCAATTGAAATTGTCAAGTCCAGAAAATTAAGGGCTTTTCCACCAAAATCAGAGGTAAACCTTAAATTAAAGTTATTTTCGTTTAGAAGATTCACAAAGTGATCAAAGTCATTGGGTGTGCCTTTCCATACAATTAGAATATCATCTATGTATTTTGCCCATAGATGTATCATAGAGGAAAAGGATGTGAATTTGGCTGATCCAATGACCGTTTCCTCCCACCAACCAAGGTGCAGGTTTGCATATGATGGGGCACAAGCCGTCCCCATCGCTGTTCCCTGCACCTGGTGGTAGAACTTGTCATTGAAGAGGAAGTAATTGTGTGTTAATGTAAATCTCAAAAGTTCTAAAATGAAATCAGAGTGTTTAAGATAATAACTTCCTCTTTTTTCAAGGTAGTGTTTGACGTGTTGTATACCTCCTTCATGTGGTATAGAGGAGTAAAGTGCTTCTACATTGAGACTACACAGACTCACAGGTTCAGGGAGTTTAAGATTCGACAGAAGTGCCAGGGTTTGCTTAGTATCCTGGATAAAAGATTGTAGGGACTCCACAAACGGGCATAAAATTCTGTCCAAATAAATACTCTAATATTGTGTAAGATTATTAACACCCGATACATAACCATGTCTGTATTACTGAGCCAAGCTCCTACCCCTGCAGAAAGAAATGGCCCAGATTGCATTCTCAATTGTAGGGAGAACTTGTCAGAGGGAATGAGAGTATTGAGACTAGGTACTGTTGTGGGGTGAGGGATGTTAGGTCAAATAATTATTCTGTGTTTGTGTGAGGATTTCCTCGGGACTACCCCAAAAGGCTTTGTCCTCCAAGATGTGAAAGGTGGGCACTTAAAAGGACCCAAAATGAAACTCTGATCTAACTCCATTTTATCGATACGTCAACTGTCTCTGGAACTCCTAGTGCCATTCGCATGTTCTTGCAATCCAGCGTACCAGATGGCATGTGAACAATACTTATGTGAAGACCCCCGTGATAGCTCATCAATAAGAAAAAATTACCAAATGCTGTAATGGGAGATTAATAACAGTTCAGCCCAAATATAATATTTACACGTCAGGTAGGGTTTAGGTAACATTTATGAGGACACATGGACTTGGCATAGCTCTGAAACAATAAGAGCAGACATGCAACAATCTGCAGGGGCTGAAGCCACAGGTGCATCTTTAAACTTTTTGCAATTCCTCCAGCTTGTCTATTAAGAACTTCTCCAATCTAGCGGTGGTATATGGGACTGAATGCCCCTGGAAATGTTGTTTGTGGAATGGGAAGTGCACAAACCGGTGTCCTAACCTTGCACTGTGTCTGTGAATAACTCATAATCTAGTTTGCTCCAATCTGCACTGAGACTAAACTGAGTCAAAGCTGCAAACACCTTTGCCACAAAAGAATGATGGTAGTCGTAGAAAGCTGAACCCCTGTACTTGTGCCCCAGGTCCACCAGCTTGTGCTTATATGCATCTGTCCTCCATCCCCCCCCCGGGTAAACAGAGTACAACATGTCCCTATATACACCAAAGCCAAGACAAATTCTGGGATAGATAATTCTTATTTGTTCTTGGTTCTCTAGCCCTTAGGACCACTGAAACATCCCCATATGCATAGGACCTATTCTCGATGACGTCCTAGGAGGCATTCAGGAGTGAAACAAGATTAACATCATTGCCCTCCAGGATGTCCTTCTTGAGACTAGGCAGGACCACATGCGATGGTTAATGACCATTGGAACATTTGGTGAAAACAAAGATTACCTGGTGGAGTGGATGAGGTTCCAACCAGGAAAGTATTGGAGGATCTAGCGAGTACCATAGGCAAGCTACCAGATCCCACTCTGGAAGGATGTGGGACATTCTAAAATAGGACATCATAATTAGTGTGGACCCACATGAGTACTGGCTGGATATCTAGTGCCAATTGGTGAAACGATTCCACTAAAGAAAGTGACAGGTTAGGCTCTGCTAGTTGCCAAGTGGCTTGAGAGGCTCTATCTATGCGTTAGCCCAAGGGGTTTTGTGGCCACCAAACGTTGTGGCAGTGTGTTGACCTCTCAGTTAAAATGAAAGCATAAAATACAATGGAAGTGACAGGTGACACCCTCTCTATGCAACCATGCGAGGCGGCTAACTATGCGTTCGCCCAACGGGCATATACCTCTGAGTATTAGGACGGGTGACCACTAACAAAAGGCATAGAGCCCTGAAAATACTAGAACCCTATGAGCCAGTAAAAGTCTAGCTAAAAAAGGTAATGATTTGTGAAATCAGATTGTGAACTCCAAATAAATTAAGATAACCTACCCGAATGCCAGGTAAGCGGTATAATGAGCCAATGTTGCCCCGTAATGCAGTATACCATGTAATAGAGAAGCGGTTGATCCCAGTATATGGTCGAATTACAAAGGAAACTGCAATAAGCATAGAAACGGACAACCTTGATAGTATATATCGCAAGTAAACAGGATGTAACCCACCTACTTAATAATATGAAACCTATGAAATGTAGAAAAACATGAAACAGTGTGCAAACCTTTAAACCAAACCTGGGGATATAAGTGATGAGATATGTAGATATTGAAACCTTACTTAATAAATCAATACCATAGCAATACTTTAAGAATTTAACACAGATACAAATATGAAAGAAAAAAATTTACAGCATGTAGTACCCTTTTGCAGCCATTAGGGGGGCCCGCATTGCCGTAATACCCGAACACCCGTAGTCTAAGGGAATTCCCTTTATATTGTATGAAGTATAACTTGATAGAGCATAAGGCGTTGAGGAGAAAGCAGGAGAAATGCTCTAACACTTCAATTGGAATCGTGTAGTGTTCGCTAGAATAACTGTTAGTCTGTGCAAAAGTATGTGAAATGGAGCCTAAACATACGAAAGGTGCCAAATCGGGACCTTTGTTTGTGAGTTTAACAAACTCCCCAAAGCTCCCTGTATTATGTATATAACCCAGGGTTCATGCTTAAAGGTCCGAACACGGCAGAAAGAAACAAATTAACATACGAATGGGTAAATAACTAAATAGACCCAAGCCGAGATGACACTGTGGGATGCGACCGAGGCACAATGGCTGGGCCTACAGCTTACGGTTCAGCGGACAACTTTCGGGTAAGTTAGAGGCCCTTTTAAAGGGTAACCAAGACCCTCCCACGACTACAGGCCCAGCCTTAAATTTACCCAAGCAGCAAATTTGTTAATTATTTTTGCATAGCCCTCCCATTCCTCCATTGATTTTATTCCTTTCTTCTGCTCCTTCTCGTGTGTCTCCAGTAACACTTTGCTTTTACACCACTGTTGAATGTGTTAGTGCCGTAGAAATAAAAAATAATAATATTAAAACAGCAGGTGCTGGATCGCTGTATAACAGTTGATTTAGCCTGCAAAAGTGAAACACTCACAGAGAGTGCATACTATGGTACATTATTCAATTACTTTGTTGCTGTCATGATAACCTCGCTTTTATGTTCACTTTGAACTCTCTGCATT